AAAAAAATACTTACTGAGTTCATATCTAACTGTATTACTATTAAAATTGCTTTATTGTGAGCAATGAGAATTATGTAAAGGTTGTTTGGTTTACAACATGGAGGATTTGTATACCATTCGATTACATAACGGTTCATCTCAGTGTACAAGTTGATTATCATATCGTTAAAATAAACTGAACTTTTCTAAAATAACCAATATAATTATACAAACAGCCAATTAGGAAACAATAATAGTTTTCAGTTAAAGTTGAAAAAATAATAATAATTTAGGGTTGCATAAAAAATTGTTAACCATTTAAGGAATTAATAGTACACTAAGGGTTCAATATTTTATTTAACCTGCTATAAATTTTTATTTTTACCCATTCAGTCATGGTGCCCAGTGATGATTTGCCTGCCTTCATTGCTTCTGGCACAGTTAAGTTTGTATCCTGTGATGAGCTGCTATTTTTGAATAAATTTTGATGGATTACATTACCATTTAGTATTGCATCTGAAAACAATTCAGTGAGGCTGTCTTTGATTGATTGTGTGAACAAACAATTGACTCGAATGTTTGATGTATTTATGTTTGTAGCCATGAGTAGTGCTATAATAGTACACGCATTACTCCCTTCTACAAATACATAAATTATAACATTATTAATAAGTAAATAATAATATCAAACAACACTAATTGCTTTAAGCAAATAATATWCATTTACCCACTTTATTATCCAAATAAACATAATTTAGGTTCAAAATATTAAAAACCAGTTCAGTAATTTAAACATTTTTAATACCTAGATGAACATTTTTAGGATGATAAAACGCCAGAGAAAATCTTTGATTTATTGTGTTAAATCGACATTTGACATTGACGCCTCAGAATTTAATGCAGCAAACCAATAATCAGTTCTTTTTTAATTTATCATTTTTTTTAGATGCTTAATGTAAATAATATCATTATCGTACTGTACTTGAATTTTTATTTCCTAATCTTGATTGTGAGAATGTAGSAGGGTACCAAATGAAGTGTATGCCGTATTTGTTTACAAATTTAAAATTTTCCGCATTTTCTGTGTTGTATTGACATGCATCACATGTCATCTTAGTGTTTCACAATTTTGATAGAAGTTTTCTGTAAATTTATTGTTAAAAGTGTTTTTGTTTATTTATGTGTTTTAAGTATTATTATTTATACTTTAGTGTAGTCAATAGAAATATTGAATGTTAAATTAAATAAACACATGATATAAATATTAAATATATAATTATCAATAATTATTAATTTGTAGGTACTAGGTATAAGGTAATTGGATCTATAAAAATAAATACAAGCTTTAATATTCTTAAGGTCATTGGAGGATTTAATGMCTGTAGGGTGGAGTAAATATTTACGAACCTGGACACTGCTCGAAAATGCTCCTTAGACAACACAATCACCACACTTTGTTTTTATTATTATCAAATCGTTTAGGATAAAAATCGATTATATTTTACATTTTAACTTTTTGTTATTTGTATGTTGCTCAAAATACAAAGTTTAAATTACAATTTTTTAATTATATAGGTAGATACAACAAAGTTATATTATGTGCAATGTGCATCAGAATCAACTATAGTATTAAAGTAAAATGTAAAGCTATACCCAGTACCCTCGTGGCTCCTACAATTATGACGATGACGGGATGACATCATAATAAATTATAAGCTATAACTAGATAAAATATTTATGCATAACTGAATGAGCTCAGTCGCACAGATTAAAATATTAAATGAAATAATGATTAAATTATAATATTATAATTAAATGATTCATTATTTTAACATGCGGTAGAAGAGTTTTGCAATGTACATACTATAATACACTGCAATAGACATAATACSCAAATACCTGATACAAGTCCGATCGTGTATTAAACGGAATATCATAATAGATTGAATTATATTAGATTTGTATTGAATATTTTCTGAATGTGTCTAGATGAGATATGGGCACTTACATTCACTTTAGCTACCCAGCACGTCTTTAATTTTTTTTTTTATCGAGTCATGTGAATTCCAACGAATTAAGAACGATAGTGGGAAAACAAAACTTGCGGAAACCATTATTTTGAAAGTTATGGTCCTCCAAAGTTGAGGATTTTACGTTTATACGTAACAGTATNAATTTTTCTCTATTCTTATTGATGCATAATATAATTCCTTTATTTTATCATGTGTAATGTCTACTTACTATAATTATTGCAATGAACAAATATTTATTAAGATTTTGATGTGTAATACTTCATGTGTGTGAATGTAAAGATCTCAATAATATATGATAATCAAAGTACTATTTGTTATGTTAGATGCGGAATGTGCGCTTGATTCGAAATTGAACCCCATACCACTTGATAGTTCCAAGGTGAAGAGTCCAGAAACACATTTAATAGCATTTATGTTGACGGGATTTCATGACACGTGTCGAGGCTGTCACAATGAACCTAATGGAATTTCAGCACTCAATGCACGGTTAGCTAACACTCTTGGCTACAAAGTACTAACTGTTCCTTACACAGAATTAGGAACTAAAGACACGTTAGTTAACAGTGTTCAATACCTAAAAGAAAGTCTTAAAAATTTGTTAAGCGAGTCTTAGTATAAATAGTTCTGTATTTTATGTTTTATTGTWTGTATCACGATTAAATTCATATATTTAAAATCAAATGCTGTGTTTATTTTTTTGTTTTTTACACTTATAATATAAAAAACTAAGTTCGTAGGCATTTGGATTTGATCCGGCTGAATTGCACAACATTTTTGCATACCATGAACAAAGGTTTTCTAATTTTGATATTCGACATTGACAAATCAAAGCTCCRTGTGATGAATGTTGATGAGAATCAATAAGTAATACCTATACAAAAAAAAATATTTTTATTCTCAGAATTATATATTTAATTTTTCATTCATTAAAATTATTTCAAATATTTAAGGATTTTATAATTCTGTTTGTTGGTCTAAATCACAAAAAGCTAAGTTATCAACCACAGCATTATACTAATTKTATTATGATAATTTTTAAAATACATTTGAATTTATTGATTGTAAATAAAWAATAACAATGATGTATATAGATTGAATTTAAAAGCTTAACAATACATTTTGAACTTAGAAATATTCATTATAAAATTAAAATAAATTTAAAAAAATACTTACTGAGTTCATATCTAACTGTATTACTATTAAAATTGCTTTATTGTGAGCAATGAGAATTATGTAAAGGTTGTTTGGTTTACAACATGGAGGATTTGTATACCATTCGATTACATAACGGTTCATCTCAGTGTACAAGTTGATTATCATATCGTTAAAATAAACTGAACTTTTCTAAAATAACCAATATAATTATACAAACAGCCAATTAGGAAACAATAATAGTTTTCAGTTAAAGTTGAAAAAATAATAATAATTTAGGGTTGCATAAAAAATTGTTAACCATTTAAGGAATTAATAGTACACTAAGGGTTCAATATTTTATTTAACCTGCTATAAATTTTTATTTTTACCCATTCAGTCATGGTGCCCAGTGATGATTTGCCTGCCTTCATTGCTTCTGGCACAGTTAAGTTTGTATCCTGTGATGAGCTGCTATTTTTGAATAAATTTTGATGGATTACATTACCATTTAGTATTGCATCTGAAAACAATTCAGTGAGGCTGTCTTTGATTGATTGTGTGAACAAACAATTGACTCGAATGTTTGATGTATTTATGTTTGTAGCCATGAGTAGTGCTATAATAGTACACGCATTACTCCCTTCTACAAATACATAAATTATAACATTATTAATAAGTAAATAATAATATCAAACAACACTAATTGCTTTAAGCAAATAATAT